GCAAACTCCCGGGAAGCGCCCCCACCCCCCGGCGCGACTCCTCGCAGCCAGCCCCCACGAGCCCTTTCGCGGGAGCCCCCACCCATTCCACGCGCGCTGCTGCGCTGCCTGGTGCGTTAATGCCGATCGCCGGCTGAAATGAAACGCTTCTGCCGGCTTAGATGTTACCTCCACACGCTACCTACAGCTCAAGCTGTAGCTTCAAAGAACTGCACGCAGCCCTTCCAATAAGTGTTCCCTGGTAAAGCTGTGGAGACTAACGTTATTTTTACTTCTGCTCCTCACGAGTCAAACCCTGTGCTCCGCTGCGTTTGCTCTGCCCAGCCTTGAGGCCGAGCTAACAGGCCCACAGCTACTGGAGTCGACTCATTTGCTGCCTTTCAGTATTGACTAGCTATCAAACCTATTTCTGCTTTCTGTAGCCTTCACAACACTAACGGTTAACGAAAACTAACTGTAACCACCGCTTATGCAGCCAAGCATCCAGAGATTCTCAGTATCACAAACTTGAGTCTGCATTTGAAAAAAGACTTTACTTCCTATTTGCCAGTAGACTGGAAAATTGCTCATCTGCATTTTTTTTTTACACTCCTTTTTCAAAAGACAAAGATGAAATATTAAGTAGTTCTGCCTTTGAGCAGATTTTATCCCTCCTCCAGACTTTAACCTTCACAGCTGACCTTTGTTCTGAAGAAGACTTAAGATAATTTCTACAAGCAATCATGTATGCTAAAAATACTACTTTTGTGGAGATCTGCTTGTATCTGTACAGCTCAGTTTTGAACAATTTTGAATTTAACATAAATTTAATATCTCAGCTCTGTAAACCTCCTTGTCTTACTGTCTACCACCTTCTAAGTTACATGTTAAATATGTTGATTTCAGACACTGAATAAGACCTGAGTGGCTTCTATATGATTTGTGCAGCTAACAGCAAAGACAGCTTCTGATAGTTGGGGTTTTTTTTTGTTTGTTTATCGCATGAGAGTTAGTTAGGTTTTGGGTTGGTTGTGGGGTTGGGGGCTTTTTTTTTTGTTTTGGTTTGGGTTTTTTTTTTTTTGCACGCTGTGCATCCATTAGAGTATTTGTGTTCACCTTAAAGCACATTAGCAAAAATACGTGATTTCTAAGGTGGGGACTTCTAAGGACAGATGTCACAAACTAGCCCTGGTATTAGACACCCTTTCATTAGAACAACGCTACAACGCTATGCAGAGGGGGAAAAAAAAAAGCAGCCTAGCTTGGAACGATGGAGAGGTGTAAAGCTCATGTTGCTACGGGATCCACAGTGCGGTATTATGAGAGCACGTTGTCGTCGGGAGCTCATGTTTTGTGCTAGTTTCCTCCACTTGCCCAGCAGAATGAAGGGTTACTAATACTCTGAAAACAAGCTTAGTTATAAAAAATTAATCTGTAAGGCCTGCTAGCACCATGTTACTGGTATTTAACTTTTCCAGTCATTAAAGGATAGTCAATTACCATACAGGAATAGTTTAGGGGTTTTGGTTTTTGTTTTACATATACACTGGAGGGTTTATTTATGGATTGATAAATACAATATCCAGTCTCACAGGGACAATAAGGCACAACTGTAGGTTACAACTATATAGTCAGCAGAGAGCAACACCTACTTTTAAGCAGATCACAAAGCCTACAAACACTTTTCTACTTCTCAACCTGTTAACATTGTTACATTCTTATTTTACATTACATGGCCATGAAACTATAATGTTTCTTTCTCATACAGAGCAGAGGTTTTTAATTCACATTTCTTTCTGTAATTGTGCTACACTCTGCAAAACAATAAAGTGCAACATTACACTTTGCAATTCCTTAATTTAAAACAAAGCAAAAATCCTTCAGAGACTTGCACGTTACTCTTTAACACAAGTGATGATTAAAGAAACTGAGAAAAAAAGAAATGCACGTTTGAGGGTAGTTTGAGACTGGTAAGTATTTATAGAAATGTTAACATATGACATAGAGAAGCAGTTATAACACTGATTTGTCAATAAAGAAGCTCCCAGGGATTTTTGGTTTTATTAGAAGGACCTCCCAGACTGTAGGATGCTCCAGCAGAACTAGATGAGATCATTCGCCGGTCTAGCCACAGAAAATTACGTTATATTGAACCCGAAATAATTTTGATCTTTTTAATTTATCAGCATTAAATTAATGGTATTAATCATCTTACACTTGCAAAAGACATTTGTGTAGAAATATATTCTGAAATACTTGGGATAAGATGCATTTCCCCAAATTATATTCTTATGCCAGAGCTTTCATAAATACAGCTACCACCCTCAACACAAACCTAACAGACCACAGCTTCCATACTGGAAAATGTAAATAATTACCGATTATCCAGGCCACTACAATTTAGAAGATGAAAAGAAAAATTAAAAAAGATCAATACTAATTTTCATGACACCATTGCCAGGGGGCAGTGACAGAACTACAAATCCAGATTTTGGCATGACTTTTTTTTGCATTATGTACACCAGTAAACAAGTTTACACTTTCAGAGGCAAAACCACCCTGATGAGAGGAGGGACCCTAGAGCAAAGCAACATGGAGCGGGCACTTCACGGTCCACTGGCTGTCAAGCCTGCAAGCTACTCAAAGGAAAGAAACGAGTTTCTGCATCTGCTACTGAAACAATTTAAGTGACTTAGTGCAGAATTCCTATTCCTTCTGTGGACACCACAGCCTCTCTCCACCACAGATTCTCCTACTGTCTTTGTGAGTTCTTCTCACAAAGAATAAAATCTATTCACAGTACTTTAGGCTGCCATTATGCATTCAGTGCTAGTTGTACAATGAAGCCACAGAAATTCAGAAGTCCTCAAGTAAAAGGCAGATTTGGAAGCGCAAAAGTGAATCATTATCACTGCACCTAGTATTTGAGTAGATGCTTGTTTCTGCAGTGTTTCAGAGGGCACTTCTGTGGTGTGTTCTCGTTTTTCCAGTCTCAGATTCAGAGCTCAGAAGAATTAGTTTGTAGATTAAACAGCAGTACGTAAGGAGAGACACTTTTTGTTGAAACCGTAGTGCAGAAGGAGACAAGGGAGAAAGGGTAAAAAAAATGGAAGGAAAAGATTAAAAAAACCAAAACCAACTCCTTTCCAAGTTGCATGGCAGCCATTTCCCTTTGTTCCTGATGCACAGGGAATGTTCACACTGGTAGAACAAATTGGGGAGGGGTTGGAGATGTATATGCACCAGTAGCAATGCTCTGGGGGAAGGTGCTAAGGAGAAAATGAAGTTCTATTCATTATATAGTAGGGGTAGAAAGGAACAGGTTCTCCATCCATCAGTGAAGAAATCGAATGCTCATTTTCTGTTCTACATCCACCTTCTCCAAAACCTGCAATAAAATTCAAAAATAACTACTTAAGTCACTGTACACACTTTTCTCCTACAAGGTTTCTTACTCTATTATAGAGGAAATGGGCAGGGATGTCTTCAATTTGGCATGCCAGTCTTTCATCTAGAGACTGCTATTTTTCATTCTGGACTAAGGTCCTTCCAATGAAAGAAACTTCAGTCATTAAAGCTGGAAGCAGGCTGTCAACCAAAATGTTGCAGTTTCAGTCTGCCAATTGCCCAGAAAGGCTTGGATTCCCAAAATTAGACTGTGTGGGAATGCATGGCCAGGAAACGGAAGGGAGAACAGAGTAGAGGAAGGGGCATGAGCCGTCACTGAAGAGTTAAAATCAAGACCACAGCATCACTAACGCAGACCATTGTAAATCTGGGGTGGCAACTTCTTTCATTGAATTGCTATTAACACCAAGGTACGAAGACAAACAGCTCCAGGCTGTTTAAGGCAGCAGACTTCAGTGTTCCAAGATCAGAGTAACTTAACTTTGAAGAGACCTCTGGAGGTCTTTTAGTCCAACTCCCTCAACTCCTGCTTAAAGCAGGGCCAGCTAGATCAGGGCCATGTCCAGTTAAATTTTAAGTATTTCCAAGAACGGATGTTCTACATCTTCAGCACCTATGATCATCCTCCTGGTAAAAAGTTTTTCTTATAGCTAATTGGAATTTGCCACGTTGCAGCTTGTTTCTGTTACCTGTTGCCCTGTCTTTGTCCACCTCCAAGGTGAGTCTGGTTCCTCTTGTCAATGCCATCCCATTAGGTAGCTGAAATTGTTCTACTATAGGACAGCTTTCTCCACTATGTAATGGCTCCTTACTATTACCTATTTCTGACTAACAGAAGATGTAATTCAAAGGATCAGAGCTAAGAACTTGAATACTAATAGTAGTTGTGTGGCTAATGGATAAAAATATACAAGTGAAAACTGACCAGCACAATTATAGCAGAATAATTACTCTGTTGTAAGTGTGCTAGTCAGGCTACTTGTGTAGAAAGAAGTGGTTGCAAGAGAAAAAAGTGAAAACTCTGCAGTATATTCAGTGCTGTGTCTTATGTAAGAGCATGAAGAAACATACGGACTACTTATTAGTACCCTGACAGTATATATATAAAAAAAAATGTCCTGATGAAAAAGGGAACAAAAAGAGCTAGCAGGAGGCTTCCTTTGCCTAAATGCAGGCAGGCAGGCTGGCCTATTTGAACAACTTCCTCTCATTAAAATCTGAATGACTTGCCCATTACTGAGCAGGTTCATTTAGTTGTTAAAAATGTAGTTTACCAACCTTTACAAACTCTGCAAAGGAGATGGCACTATCCCCATCTTGATCAGCTTCCTGGATTGTCCTGTCAGCAATGCTGCCCAGCTGCTCATCTGAAATGTTTACACCAACCATCATCCGTAATACCTGTAACATACAGAAGCCCCCAGATTTTTTTTTTTTAATAGAAAAACAAAATAACCATTATTGATATAGGAACAGAAGTATTCTTAGTGCTGTTTTTCTCATGTACACTGTCAAAATAACACCATACAGGAACAACCCTGGAGGATTTCCATGGAAGTATTTCTAGACAGACTTCTATTTGTCCTTTGTACATCAAGGCTTTCAGGAAAGACAACTTCCTTTTGTAGCCACCTTTGACAAAGAATCCTGCTTTTTCACTAGGAAGCAGAAAGAGGCAGAAGCGTGAGAAAGCTTTTGGAACTAGGAATGAGGAAGTTTTGTTCCAATGCTTTTGTCTATATTTTTCCCACAAAACATACCAACATGTGATTAAATATCCACTGTTTGAGACAGTTGCCTACGGGAATCTTGTATGTGGTCAAATGGTAACTGCCGTTACTCTCTACTGTTAGCAAAGCATTTTCCATGCAGATAAAAGAGGGCAGTTTCAGTGAAAAGCAAATCCTTGTCCTGCATCAGGAACCACAAATTGCTGTGTCTACTTCCCAGGATTAGCAGTATGTAATTACTCCTAGCTCAAGCCTAGTTTCATATATATGCAGCACTGGTGAACTTTGATTACCTTTGCTGCAATTTCAAGAGGTTCTATTCTATTGAGAAGATGCAGAGAAGGATCAGGCAAACAACCTAATCCACCTCAAGGCTTGTCCCTGTGAAGTCCTTTTAAAAGCACCTTTGAAAGTTATAGAAGGTAGTTCTTAAGCATTTGTTGGGTATTTAGGTATAATTTCCAACAGGAACTACTTAGCCTAACACTCTGGTTTAAATTTGAACTTAGCATTCCCAGTCTGATAGAACAGCCTGGACTACCAAATGAGATTAAAGTCTCATACCGTATCTAAAGCTTTAAACTAGAGATAAGCAATTAGCCACCAAATTCCTTCAGGAGTTCTTTTGAGAAGACTGTTGTAACTCCCATCTTCATTCTAAATGGTTGTGAAGTCAGAGAGAAGGTCATGATGGAGTCATTCAAAGCAGCTCTGTGCCATTTACCTGAAGCAGCTCATCCCTGGAAATCTTGTCATCTTTATCTAGATCATATAACCGAAAAGCAACTACAGGGAAGAAAAGAATGAGCAGTTTAATTCATGTGTCATTATTTTTCTTCATAACAATACATTTACCTAAAAAAAACCCTAGTGAGTATTCATAAATCATTTTAAGAGAATTAGCTTAGAATTTTAATTCACCATACAATTCATGTTTAGTTCCGTAAAGTGTTATTACCGCATACAGAAATAACATTATCATCAAGAAGTGAATTAAGTACTCAGTATGAGTACTTTCAGAATCACTCTGCTTGCAGTGGTATTTCTTCAAAGCCCCAAGTCATGGAAGTGTAATTACCACCAGAATACATTCAATCCTTTAACTTCAGAGCGAACCATTTTTACATTACCATTCACTCATTTTGACTATATTCTGGATGAGATATGACAGAAGTTTTAAGTGCTCTGAGGACTGTTGCCAACTTTGATTAGCGAGCAAGAGCATTCTGCTTATATATTGTAGGCAGATGTCCAAATATTCAAGGAAGTACTCAGCCGAAGGCGAGAAAAAAGCACTATATTATATGGAAGACTGGAGAAAGCAGCAGAAAAGCCCATTCACATATGGGATGTCCCTCCTAAATCTGAAACAACTTTGGATGCAAACCATTTCAAAACACTTCTGTTGATACGCTTGGAAAACCATAGATCTTACTCAAGATTCAATCAATTCCACCAAATTCCAGTACAAGGATGGGTCAATTGTTGACATCCTGAATGGATAAGCTTGCAAGTTAATTTTAAAAAGTTAACTTTAGTATTAGTATTTAGTATAGTATTAGAGGATATCATTCCACAGGGAATGACTGTACAGAAGATCCCAAAAGCCCCTTCACTCCCTTCCCAGAAACACAAAAAAAAGAAAATTGCTTCTATAGGAAATTTCACATTTCTTACAGTGGAGTTTGTTACTTCGGCTGTTCAGTGGTTCTGGTCCATTCTGGTCTTTGTTCTTTTCATTATCTTCTATGGGTCGGAAGTGGGCTAGTGTCCTCATGAATCCACGGAAATTCACCTGGTCCTCTCTGCATAAGCATTTCAGCAGATCAGTTTTAGCATAGCTTATACATGTTATTTCAGTAAAAAAGAGAGTATGAACGTCTAAGGCATCAGGACCATGCAGACTCTTCCACTCCCACCTCCCCAGGGTCTGTCTGCCTATGCTCAAACCCAGCTCCAATACAGTGCAGTTGCAACCTGGGATCACACTGTTGTGAAGTATGATGTGCAAGAAAAGAAGTTGTGAGAAGTCTTGTTGAGGGCTGCCCCGCCCCCATTGCCTGCAAGCTCTATGTAAGCTCAAGCCCTCACCCTGAGCCCTTGATTGAGCTATCCTGCAGCTATGTCTGAGTCTGGCAATGTATCTTGCTGATCTGGACTCTGACTCCCTGCACTGACCTGAGATTTGCTTCATCACTGTCAACCTGTCCGGCCACCACTTGAACTGTTGGATGACATGACAGTTGCTGGACCTGCTCTGCTTTTCTTGTTCAGGTGCTGTGCCCTTTGTCAGTGAGTACATCGCCCCTGCCAGCTTTGCTGTCACCCTTGCTTCCTGCTTGTGGGGCAGCCATTGTTCACTGTTCCCTGACAAATAGCTCAATTCTCTAGAGTTTCTGGGGGAACCGGCTACGTAAGTACTTTTCATGACTTCTGCTTTCTATTCAGGAAAGCCTGCCTGGTATTAGCTGATATGATGACTTGATTAGACGATATGGTCTTCATCAATCAGTAATGATGAAGGTGTTCCGGAACAGCAGCAGATTCCATAGAACACTCTAGAGAGCTACAATGAAGAGAGACAGTACTGCAAATTTGATCATCTCTTTGGATTTGCATTAGAAGTGCCATAAGCTATGTCTTAAATGTGATCAAAAACTAAAAACAAACAAACAAAAAAAGCTAATCTAATAACAAAGGTACATTTAGAGGATAAAATGTGAAAACCAAGACTGAATTAGTTAATTGCATAATGGCAATTAATGCATTTTATGCATAATAGCATAAAATAGTATTGCTACAAGTTTGCATTGAGAACCAAAGTCCATACATGCCCTTGACTTTGTTTAGAAGTGTTCAGCAGCATAGCAACAAGAGTGGAAAACCATGACACAAAGCCTGAGTTTGTCAACGAATAAAGCACACAAAACTCTTCTAAGGTTGTGAAGTATTTCTCACTACCAAATGAAAATATGCTGAGGAAACAATGTACCAACACACATTTCATGACAAATTTGAGGTGTTCAATTATTAGTAACTTCAAATTCTGTGCTCTAATTATCAGCATTTCACTCCTATCAAAACTTCTGACAAGCTACAAATTTTGTGCCTGCTTGTGAATTCAGTCCGTTGGAACTCACCCTTCTGGAAAGAAGGCATTGATAATTCTGTCTCCCAGTGGATTGATGGCAAGCTCTGGGATCCGCTGGAAGTCTTCACGGCTAAATAAAGCAAGAACACAAATAGTCTGCATAAAGTCAGAGGAGAAGTTGTTGCTTAAAAAGAATTCACAGTAAAATATCCATTGGGTTCCATTTCTGCAGCAAGACCCTTCGTGGTTTTTAAAGTGTAACTCTTTAAATCATGTTTTCTCTATGACCAATAGCACAAAACAAAGCAAAACACAATGCTAAGCCTGTATTACATTACGGACTAGCAGTGTTCATTTATCACGTTAACAGCACTTCTCAGATGCTAACATTGGTTGTGCTAGAAACCATCCTGTAATGATGCTGGCTAGTTTGCAATTTAAGGAAAGGAAAGCTTTTGGAATGGCTTTGAAGGAAAATACGACTTCAAAATTAAAATGAACTTATTTTTTAAATAATTATTTAGGTACTGAATCATTTGAGTTGGCATGAGTTTTCCAGACTACCCCATTCCAGATGCTGGGATGATACCACCCTCCTCCAAACATACCACAGGTAATCTGCATATTCTAATAGACACTTTTTGCTTATGCAGCAATTTTGTATCTTACTATAAACACCAAATTTCAGATTATTTTAGCTTCAACCAGGCAGCTACTTTATAAAGTAGTAAATTTGGACTTTGACAGGGGCCTGCACACCAGATGTAACTTCAAAGTACATTACAAATACTCACTACTCTTGCCAGCCATTCTCCTTTCTGCTCATGATTATATGTACACAGTATAGTATAAGCATAGCTATGCTTACATTGTTACAGCTTTTTCTGATCTGGAAGATATCATGAGCTGTACTGATGTGAACACAGATCAGTATGACTCGAACATAGCATTCATTCTATTATTGGAGTTGCACTAATAACTTTTCTTTCAACCTAATGGAATGTCACTGACAGGAAAGTGGAATAATCTTGGCGTGACCAATGCAGACACACCAAATGTGTCTTAGCGAATACTTCGGTCAACAAGTTTGGTTTTGGGGTTTTTTTTTGTTTGTTTGTGTGTCATCCCCCTCATGTCCGTCGTGTGTTCCCCCCCCCAACCGAGCACAGCACATTATCAGTTAGTACAAGGTGTACTCCATAATCATTTAGGTTTTAAATTGGAAAGATAACAGCAATGGGGTAAGGCTGTAAAAAAAAAATTTATTCTGTCTGCATGCACAACTAGACATTTCCTGCCCAATCTCCAGAAATATTGGCGATTCACTTCAAGTCAAATGCAGTCCTGCTGTTTTTGAAGTTTGGGTCAAAATCTCAAACCTGGTGACTAAATGCTTGCCATTTTCGAAAACTTGTTGCCGATTCATTTAGTGAGCATTCATGATCTCATTACACCAAAAAACCCAGCAGAGCAAAGTAAACACAAACAGATTTTGAGATTATTTAAGTATACTGGCCTTTTATAGTAGTGCTTAAAGACAGGGGAAAAAAGGAATTGGCTAACCTTATTACTAGTCTAGCCTGGAAAAGGCACAGAAGCAAGACACTGTAGTTTTAAATGCATTCTAACGCACTCCTTGCACCCAGCTGCACCACAGCACTGTTAAAAGTCCAAACTATAATATATCTGTTACAACACGGTTAAAGTGTTTGACCTTCTAACAGAGTGACCTGACCATATTTTTAAGCTATCCCAGCAAACTTCTGCTCCAACCAGGTCTGAATTACTTTTAATAGGCAAAGTTAACATCTCTATAACATGATCAACTTGTTACCTGACCCTTCAGGACTGCCGCATTTTAAGTTATAGCTGAAGGGCAAAGTATGCATTAGCAATTTAGGCAAGAGATGCACTGATGTGGAAAATCTATGTCCTAGTAACAATACTTTAACAACAGGACTTCTGTGTCAATGCTAACATTTACAAGGTAAAAGCAGCAACTGCCCTCTCATCCATTTAGAGCAAAATCCTAATGCTTCAGAATTTTTCACTTGTGTATCACTACTTAGTATTCAGCCTCAATTTACACTTGGCACTTCAGCCTCCAGCTGTTCTGCTTTCTAACAGGAGATTAACAATTAACCACAAATAACTCCCCAGGTTTCAAAATCTATTTGTCCTGTCATTATCAGGATTGCTGTAGACCATTTTTGCTTATTAAGAGCACATGACTGAGTGAGTCTTATAATTGAAATAGCTGTAACAGCCATAAAAGTAAATGAATGCATGAAGTAAGTTATTCTCCACTTTACAAACTAAGGCTTCCTCCAGTCATTAGAGACCAACTTCACCTGGCTGAGGCTGGAGCTTACAGCAAATTTGATGCCCTCTACTTCTTTTGTGTTCCCATACCATAGCAACAAGGCTCTTTTAACATATCTTTCCAGGAACCTGGCTTCTATTAAATACTTGCTTAAACGTAATGTGCAAAGCAACCTTCAACTGTATGCTATCATTACACAGGCCAACCATTTTATATGCCAGCACATTCACACTTAGACATACTTTGCAGTAAGGAATTTGTAGATTTTTAGACAGATGAGTACTTCTAAGCATAAGTATACCCTCCAAGACACATGGCAGATCCTTACAGTAAAGGTGGCTCTGCCTCACCCCAAAGGCTGCACGAAACCTACTAGAACCCTTTTTTCTTCCATTATTTCTGATTGTTATTCCTTCTTCCATATAGTAGAAGAGCACTGTTCCCTCAACAGGGATGAGGAGGGTAGGGCTATCTAGAGCTGAGGGAAAGTACAACAATGGAGAGAAAACAAACCACATGTGAAACAGAAGTGGCAGAGGAAAGGAAAAAAGTCCAGAGGATACAGGTAACCAGAAATTACTTGAAAAAGGAAAATAACTAAAAGAAGTAAGGCATATCATGCAAGATGGTCAAACAGATTTAACAGGTTACTGCTGAATAAGTTTTGTTGTTCCTTTCCCTTGCTAATGTTAGATTTATCATTCATCAAATCTTTTGGTGGTCTAATGTATCTCACCAACCCCCAAAAAAGCTCCCCACCTTCCTCCTCTCCATCCTCCCAATTATTTTGAATTAGTAACTTGAAGCAGTTCAAAAAATTCAAAAATCTAACAGCACCATGGCTGACAAAAGAGAATGGATATCCTCCTCTTTCACAGCCGTGTCAGCCATCTCACCTAACTTCATCCTTACACACGCTCTACACAAATTTAAAAAGTCGCTTAACTATTGGAGGAGTAATTGGTTTATAAACATTAGGCCAAAAGGTATGCTAAAACTAAAGGTGATTAACAGGTGAGCAATGGGCAGGGGAGGGGGGAAAAAAAACCAAAACAGTGTGAATAAAGCATGCTTGAGGACAGAAGTATTGTCTGTCCTAGTACCCTATCATTCTCTAATTCAATCCCATATCCTGCCCTTCTTGTCTGTTTTAGATAAAGCTAAAAATCCTTTGCATTTTCTTAAGCAAAGGTGAAGAAGTCCACATTCAGAGAGCAAGCTTTTACATCTTACTTTGAAACTATCAAGAACAAGCCTGACACCCTTCCAGAGTTATACGATTCAATTCACTAACAAAGATTAACAGGATGGCCCAGCTACCTCATTACCCTTCTCTCAGGACCAGAGGCTTTCTGAGTTCACCAGAAGACACAATCTTGTGAACAGCTTTCATAAGCATGCGATCTGCATGAACAGTTCAGTGTGTCTATTCTCCTCATTTATCAGTTTTCAGAATACTTGCCCTCCCTTCCTTCTTCCACACTCACCAGGCTATTCCCATTGCTGTACAGTAAAAAAATTACTTTTGAAGTGCTTAACCTGCATTTCCCCAGTGCAGAAGGAACTACTATAAGCGGGAGGCTCCATGCAAAAGTTACACGCAAAAGTAGCAGTTCAGACAAGTATCTCCTTTTTATAGCTCTAGACGTGTCTGTCTAGAGCTACTTACTAGCAGGTAAGTTTTGGAGCAGATGTATTCTTGTGGCGTACACTTCAGTACCAGCCCAACAACGGAGACTCAGCAAAGCAAGCACACATTTATCCTGTCATACGCTTAATTGTCCTCATCTTGGAAATCAGAATGTAAAGAAAACATGCGCACTGGTTTCCTCCCAATCTACAGTTAGGATGTAGGCAGAACAAGTATATTTCAGATTTCACAATTTAGATGTAGTTATGGACACCCAAGGGTACTAACCTTTTATTTTGGCAACTCAACACATCAAAATATCAAAATCAAAGGTGACAAAAGAATTTTCAAAGCAACAGTTATGTCCTGGCTTTTACAACCTACTCCATTAAGATGGTGCAAACCTGAGGGAGCTTACTCATCTTGGCTAGAAAACATGAAGCTAAGGAAAAATCTAAAATTTTTCTACACCTTTAAAGAATTAATACAAATTAATCAGTAACCATGGCTGTAGTCATTTAGGGGACAAGGAGGAAGTGGGGAAAAAAAAATTGCAAAACTAGGCACGTGAAGTTTTGTCTCCATCAATATCCTTCCTTAAGTTTAATTTACGTAAGTCTGTAAAAAGAAAGTGCCTTGAAACTGTACATAGGTACACTGGATAGAAACCTCTGGCTACAAAAGATTTCAACTTCTGATTATAGTTCCAGAATGAACTACTTGTCATCTCTAACCACCAGGATTAATCATGATCTAGCAGATCTTCTGTACAAAGCACTCTCTACCTTGACCATTTTTAATACACAGATAAGAAGGACAACATCGCTTTTCCCCTTCTTCAGATGGGTGGTACACATTTAAAGATTAATTTCATGCCATAAAGAACTGTCTAACACTTCTTTTCCCGATCATAGTCACACGAGTGATTTCTGTCATATCCAATTTGTAACTCAAAGGTATAAGTCATCCTTCTGGAAACAATCATTCTTGCTCACAGGAAACAAAACAGAAGACATGCCTTCTAAACTGTTTGGTGATCGTAAGTGATAATTTCATCTCACTTGTCTCAAAGTAGCAAGTTCTCTTTGATCAGTATTTCAGAAACCAACATGTACGACCTTCCGAACTGTACTTCTTACTCTCTCTTCGATGTTTTTTTGCAGGAAGTAGTTTTCCATTACTTAAACTTAATGGTTGCCACATATTGTGGGTGCCGGGACAGGTTTCAAAATTTGAATGCTGTTCTAAGTCGGCCATGTTTGGGAGCAGGTTATGCTTACAAAGCCAAGACTGCAAGTTAATGGATCACAGTTTGCACAGTTACTGGGATTTTCCAAATGAACTTGACTGCCTTTCCCAAGTACCACATGATTATCAACAATGAAAGTCAAACTCCTCCTGATACGTAACACTATGAAACTAAGCATTGTGCAACAGACATTCATAACATTCTTAATTAATTACTCCTCTTACGTAAACTGAGTACAATCACTTTGAAGTTTATACAAACTTTATGGACTCAATACCCAAATTTAAAGTTGGAGGGAAGAGTTGAGGAAAGATGTGTGCTAGGTTCAAATTGTGCTAGACTAGTTCGGTAGCCATCACATTTATTGATCAGCGAAGACTAAACCCACCAGCAAAGTGTGAAGGGGCTGTTAGTGTTCTTCTTTTCCACATACTTTGAGACATAAGTACTATTAACCTTACCTACAAAATCATCAGCTGATCTGTATGCCACAGTTGCCAATGAGCCAATGCTACAACTGATGTGATACATCGGCTTCAGTGTCAGAGTGGACTTAAGAAGTTCCTGCCCATCCCATCCCAAGCCAATTGTTTCCACACCCACAATCCATTTTGTCATCCCTTCAGGTATGCAAGCCCAGATATTTACAGTACAGCCACAGTCCACATCACTAAAGTCAGTCAGCTTAAAAATATCTATACAAACCAAAAGGGCAGGGAAAGTATTTTTAACAAAAAAATAATCACTCAGTAGTCCTGTTCACAGTACAACTCCACAACCAATTACTTAAATGTTAACTGACAAGTCAGCAATCTGTGGCACCAAAAGGAACTGCATATCTCCTTCAGGAAAGGAAACTGCAGTAAGCCGGCAGTACTGCTAAAGACAGTATATGTTACAGCTGGTCACCTTCACCTTCAGCAGCAGAGACTCCAGCTTTACAGTTAGGTTGATCTATAGGTAGGTCTAGATTTTATAGGCTTACAGTGCAGCCTACAATCACATTTTGCGAGATCATACACAAAACCCCAGGTGATCCCCGAGTCCATGTTTACTGGGTTTGACTGGGATGGAGTTGCCATGAAAAAAAGTAACTCCATCCCAGCGAGACCCCATATACTATGCTACAACAAGGTCCTTTTCCCCTTCCTACTCTCTCCTACATTCTCTCCAGCTTCCCTGTGCACTGGTTCTGGCATATGAGGCTGTATGGTGAATGGGAAACAAAATCCACCTGAAAACTGATCAGATTTCTTTTTTATTGTTTTGCTTGGCAAGTTTTCAAAACTGTAGGTCAGTTGCCAGAAGATAAGCCTTCAATACCATCATCAACACAGAAATGCAACAGACTTCCAGTGGCAGCATGGTCTTAGACCAACTATGTTGGTTGCAAAATCACACCCCTGGTACAATCATCGATAGCTCTTATTTGTCATACATTTCCATAACATTAATGTAATCTGTAGGCAACATCAAAAGAGAAGAATAATAAATTAATACAATCAAAATTCATATTAGTTCAATAAATAAAGAGCAAACCAATACCAACATGCAATACAATAACCAAAGCGGGGAAGGCTAGAGAACAAAGACAGCAGGCAGAGACTTATTTTAACAGGCAATCATCCCACTAGAGTTCTCCTTTCATTTGAGAATACTCTTTCCAGCAGACTCGATCCATCAAAGTGAAAAAATGTTTTGCAGATAAAGTTTAAGCCTCATTAGTAATTAATCAATTAAGCTGTAAGAAACCTCTGTAAACTAACTTAAACTTCTGTAGTTTGCAAATTATAGACAGAAAGCAAACACTTTAAAGGTCTTGGAATATTCTGCACTACTACTTTAAAGAATAAAATGCATATTTGTTTAGTCACAATGACTTGGTTCCAGCTCTTTCTTTTTATTATTTAGCATACGGATAGACATGGGTGTTCAACAACAGGTGCAAAGTTAAGAATAGTAAATGGCTTGCAGATCTCAGTATGTTAAAAGACACCAGGGATCAGAAACAATTAAGAGCCCATGCTCCCAAAAACATAAATGATCTTTCTGTTACGAAAGCCAGCATGAAGAAAACATAGTGGAACTGTTCTTGTAATATTAGAAGCAACATATCAAGAAAGGTAAGAAATAACAATCTCAAAATGTGGTTTAATATTTCCGAACATTTGTTGGAAGACCTTGAATACCAAATCTGACCTTTCTTGTATTAACTGCTACAAGCCTTCAGCAGTAAAAACAATTGGTATTTAGAGCACCTCAGTTCAACAATCGGATTTCTTCTGACCTTTCACAAAAGAGAACACACTGGAATGTCCATGCAGACAGTAGGTATGAAGGAACCTGTTATAACAGCCTCACTGATTCACCATATGAGGAAAGCATGTGGGCATCCCACAACAGGAAGCCACCATTACAGACATAAATGCAAGGACAGCTGTATTAGTGACAATACCCACCTAAGAGTGCCATTTTCTCCTTTGTCTAGGCTGGTGAAGCGACTGTACAAGCGGGTGATTTGACTGTGAGAGACTGAATAAAAAAAAAAGAAAGAAGAAACACAAATTAGCAAGTCAGTGATTCCTCATAGGAACAGACCTCATTAAACTGATCCACTCCATTGCCAGAAGCTGTGTTCAAAAAAAATTACACAAAACAAGTTACACTGGAAGCACATAGCAATCAGCAGTTTAGGGACTTCTTGAGTTGTAAATTGCATCTTAATATTCAAGAATCCACAAGCAAAAAATAGTCTAACTCTGTCTTCTACCTGTTTATATTATTGGTCTCTAAAACCTTATTTCGTTATCTGGTTCAGTAAATGGCAATCAAAAAGAAAAAAACTATTTAATTCACAGTTCCACTGTATTTCCCTTATTTCCTTTATGGCTAGAAATAACCTGGACACAGCCTCCACTGGTGACCTCTACATCATTCATGACACTGCAGACCTATCCTTAGTATTTTTTCCTTCTCTTTTGCTCATCTCTACTGTTGTTGTCTTCTTCCATCTAAAGACAGAAAGTGTACTCAGTTCCTCTGCATCTGGAAAGTGGTCAGAGAGACTTCACACCCAATCACTTTTCTTCCTTTACATGACTGCCTGAATCCATAGTTTGCTCATTTGGGGGTTCACTGAAGTCACTTCCGGGCTTCTAGGACATCTGAGTTAAAAATTAAAAAGCCTGTTTCTTAAGAAGTGCGGGAAGGAGTTGGGACACAAAGCAAGCAGAAAGTTATTGCAGACTTTTTAAATCTGCACTTTGAAACAGCAATTCTAAAGACAGTATTAAGTTTAGCATAATGGTGTCAACATTAGCAAGATATTAGACAATCCAAGATACTAGACATTGAGATCTTTAGATTAGTCCATGACGGGGGCGGGCTAAACCCATCTAGAATAGCAATTCCTTTAACACTGAAAGAATGCCCTACAGAAGATCTTGGCTTTACAGAGCCTCTGCAGATGAAGTTAGTAACTACATGAAGTAAGACTGAATTGAATTTTAATGTTTACTCAGTAAAGGTGTGATTTTCTACAATGCTAAACTAGGACTTAGTGCCATTTTCAGATTCAGTTGATTTAAAAGCTTTCACCAGCACACATACAATGCTTTTGTTACTTGCTAAAACTTCTTTGGGAACAGGTTGCACAGCAGTTGTCTGATCTGTGACAAGTGAGGTGTTTTGTTTTTTTTCCAGGTTTGTTCTTTCTCCAGGCTATTTGTTTAGGTTCAACTGTTCCCTCCTTTTGGATGACCTGCCAGCAACTGGGTTTTTTTTTCCTTGTCTCCTGAGCAACTTTCATTCTTTGCATAGGGTTGGGCAATTTGCTCAGTTCCACCTAAGGCAACTTCTTTACAATCAGAATGGGTAGCTTGCTCAATCTCAGGTTAAGCAACACACACTCAGAAAGCAGGCACCAGTATTTTAAAGACTTTGAATTTACGCATTTCTGATTTAGTGTTTTAGATGTGACATGCAATAACAACAACTGATGATGAAAAAAGAATAGCCTGGAGTTACATCTCCAACAAGAAGCCCTGTACTCCCACTCCTCCCTGGAAAGAGAGAGGGTGATGATAATTCTACTCAGCTACCATTTCCAAACTAATGTCAGCAACTCCATTTTTGGAACACCTCCATAACAGCTAGTATGTGATAAATAGTATGTAGCTATGGACAGAAGAAGAGGTGCTTTTGTTAACATCATACTAGACAAAAAGCATATCATAGCTATACGAGAAAGGAAGACAACTCAGGTCCACCATTGTATTCTTTCATAATTTCCTTTTCGGCTCTCATCCCTCATGAAAGCTGCATCACTAGGCACTTTTCAGAGCCTTCTCACACAAAATAAAGATTTTGACATTCCCTGCTGACCCTAGGAGAAGCAGAAACAACATTTGTAATTTATGACTGCTTCTTAAAGGTTAAGGCTGAAAGCTATCTGAATCACGATTTTATCTATACTTCTACCCCACTATGGTCCTTCTAAAAATTTAAGTCAAGACCCCTAGAATAGGAGCTGTAGCCTCTACTTTAGTTCTGTGAAATCATTAGGAAGTTTTTTGCAATTAGACACTCTGAAACTCTTGTCTAAAACATAACAAACTCATATGTCTATATGATATTCATATACTTAGAAAAATATGCACAAATATCCATCAGAAAATCCATCACCTGTTACCACTAAAATATTTCTTCTCCTAAGCTCTGATACAAGCTTAAGTTTATCATTAATCCTTAGGTAGACTGCTTCAAAGCATGGTAACAAAGGGTGTGAACCAAATAGTTTGAATAGCTTGCAATAGAACACAGACAAGCAACATCATGGACCTCTCATCTGCTTCTTGTAGTTGGTACTGAAACACAAAAGCAATTAGGACAACTTGAAGTTTTTTTCAAACTCAAATTTCAAAATGTTTATCTGCAAAGCAAACAATTTCCACACAACATCATATAATATTTAGGACTGTCAGTCGCAAGCTTGACACCTGTTACTGAGAACCCCAGTTTTTGGAAACACTGCCCTCGCAGATGTTTCTCAACTTCTTATGCTAAGAGGCTTTTTTTCACCACAATATGAAAAAATTACTATAGAACTTGAATCCAAACTTGGAATTCATTCAAGAGATCAAGTGTCATTGTATGGCTTTTGAAAGACTGTGCTTCAAGTCCCCTAAAAGGTATCTTTGTCATCTGTTCAGCTAAAGAACATTAACTTCTGGTTTATCACTCATGTTAGTATTATTAACTATTCAGTTTTGTGCTACATAAATCTGAACAACAGAAAAGTTGTATAACTCAATAGTTGAACTCAATTGTATTGGTTAAGTGTTCTGTTCAGTCCTTCATACTTATCCCAAATGAACTGAAGTCATGTTTCACAGAAAGGAGGCCAAAAAAGGAATCCTTAGGAGCATATAACAGAACATCAGCTCAAGATGGACATGTAGTATTGCCAAATTGTTTCACTTCTACAAAGTCCCTTTCTCAAACTCTTCAGTAGGTGAAGTATCATTAGCACCAAGTTTCTAACAAACTACAAGACACACTATTCAGTAACACTAACTTAGCATTCTCCCTGTGAACTTTGTTCCAGATAAACCAGTGTCCTGGGTTTTCTTTTTGTCCCTACCTTGCACCTTGCATAAATATTTGCACCTATATGAAGTGTGTAACAGTGCTAAGAGCTTGGAGGAATTTTCCATCTACGTAGAGAAGTATAAACGGCAGAGGAAAATCACATTCCTAAACTGTGTTTACAGTCTGGAGGAAAAAAAAAAAAAAAATTTGATAAAGTCAATGAGACACACTGTGATGACTTACAAGCAAGTATAAGTCAGAGCAGATTCGCAATGCTTGATGAACAAAGTGGTATTACTTATAAAATTTAATAGTAAAAACACAAGAAAATAAACCAAACTCAGCCCACAGAGCTTAAACCTGTTGATCACAACTTTAAGCTCCCCACTTTGCAGATACAAGTAAAGCATTTAGAGGCTAACTAGAACTGAATGGTTTTATTTCTTAGAATGACTACATAGCCAACTTAATGGCATTTATTTAACTATCATGTGAGTACAACTCTAGGAATAAAACACCACTGACTACAAATCAAATATTGGCATGAGGAAAACAGTAAAACCATATGAAAGAACATTCCAGATTTGGGCTTTGGTTTTTAAAGCATCTTTATGAATGAGGTGAGGCTACCTTTACTCTATGATCTTTGTGTTTAAAAACAAACAAACAGTAAATTCTTCCTGACATTCCTACTCACTTATCATAGACTTCCTGTAGAAGGTACCTTGACAGATGGAAAAAGGACCTTGACAGATGGAAAAAGGATCACGGAAACTATATTAACTCACTCAGCTGTCCATTACACTAGCCAGCATCATCTTAATTTCCTTCCACTCCTTTTCTGTAGCCACTCATTTTCCTGACACAAATTAAGTATCACCTACGATGAATATATGATAACATTTCTATTGGAAAGAAAACCAAGGAAAGTATTTTCATGTAGCAAGAACAGATCAGCAAGCATAAGCAGGAAAAAAACATGATCTGGGAAGACCTTGTTTACCCGAAGCCAGGAGGAGGGAAGCAAACAGCATGGTGATACCTATGATGTTAGGACCTCCCTTCTCCAATCAATTACTATCATTCAGTATTTGATAGGATTCTCAGATAGGCAACTATTCTATCACTCAAATTAACAACACCAACTTTTACCTTTTCTAAGGTATTCTGTATTTATGGACAACAACTCAATCAAATACTACAAGGTAAACCACCTATACACTACAGTCCAGCTTGAAAAATGCTCTCCCAACTGCTGTCTAGTGCAAGAATTTTCATTTTTAATTAATCATATCCAACTTCCACAAGTTATGTTACCTCCTTTATGTTTTAAAG